AATGATTGTTGTTCTATAAAACTTTAACCAATGATTGTTGTTCTATAAAACTTTAACCAATGATTGTTGTTCTATAAAACTTTAACCAATGATTGTTGTTCTATAAAACTTTAACCAATGATTGTTGTTCTATAAAACTTTAACCAATGATTGTTGTTCTATAAAACTTTAACCAATGATTGTTGTTCTATAAAACTTTAACCAATGATTGTTGTTCTATAAAACTTTAACCAATGATTGTTGTTCTATAAAACTTTAACCAATGATTGTTGTTCTATAAAACTTTAACCAATGATTGTTGTTCTATAAAACTTTAACCAATGATTGTTGTTCCATATTTCTTCAGGTGGTGAACAATTGGTACCCCAAACCACAAATCAATCTGTGTCTTTGTACTCAGTAGGTAAAGTCAATGTTGCCTGTTGTTGTTTTTGTCAGCAGACTGTACCTCGTGTCATGTATTTATATAATTATTGTATTGTATGTAATTGGTAATATTGTTGATAGATACAAAGAGTCGTGTATATTGAAGAGATATTCTAAATAAGCAAGAAAGGTGGGGTGATGTTCAGAAGAGGAAAGTAAAGATTCTACTAAACTAAAGAGAAAATTTCGGTTTTGTCCAAAATATGCACAAATTTTGGTTCATGAAATCAATTCCAACTATTGTTTATATTTTCCAGATTTTAAGGCAGTTTCCATCACATTCACAGAAAAGAGGAAGAGAGAGAGGTTCAAGAAAAAATAACAGAATGCAAACTTACCGAATATTTTCTTTGGAATAATTGGAATATCAGACGTCAGTGCTGGACTGCGGCCATATTTGTTTTCAGCATAGATACGGAAGTAATATTCTGAGTTTTCTGTCAATGAAGGGGCTAAAAAGTTTGTGGCATCACCAATGGCGCGTCCGACGTACATCCATGATTTCTTACTGGCCTCTCGTCTTTCAATGATATAGCCTGTGATTGGTGAACCGCCATCTTCTGCTGGTGGTTTCCAAGCAACTGTTACTGAGTCACGTGTTATCTGGACAGCTCTGATTGGTCCAATAGGAGCAGAAGGTGGACCTTTAAGATATGATATAAGTTCTGAATTACATTCCGAATAAAAAATCTAATCTAAGATACAAAGAAACATGAAACAAAGATCATTACCAGCCCAAAAATTCAGAAAACGCGTGCCATTTCTTCGCTTAACAGCTACTATACAAAAACTTAACTACTATAACAACCCAGGTTGCAGATGTGAACATAACTACCTTGCTAAAGTCAATATGTTAATGTACAAGAAACATATTCAATGTACGAAACCTACCATACTGGCTCTTGGGAGAAACTGGAGTCTCGCTGTCTAAAGGTGCACTCAGTCCAACTGTATTTTCAGCATAAACTCGGAACAAATACCCAACATCACTGACTAGATTGTTCACATCATAGTTATTCTCAGACGGCAGGGCTTTACCAACACGCAGCCATTTTGGACGACGGATATCGTTCTTCTCTATAATATAGCCAGTAATTGGAGAGCCTCCATCTGTGTCAGGTGTGTACCAAGATAAGGTAACTCCTTCATCAGTTATATTACTGACGTTCAGAGGTCCTCCTGGTTTTGATGGTTTTCCTGAAATAAATGGAAAACAAGGTTTAAATTGCACATAGCAAGAAAGCAATAATTTCAAAGATTTCTTCTATATGTATTATTTCTATTGCCCAAAGAATCAGTTTCATTGATCTCAGCTCTTCCAATTCTTAAAATCTTTAAAATGTATCCACATAAAAAACAAAACAAAGTTACCTTTTGGTTTAGCAGGGACAACAGCTGTGTTGAGTTCAGCAGGTTTACCAGGACCAGCAGCTGTCTTGGCACGAACTTGGAAGTAATACTGATAACCTTCAATCAGGTCGTAAGCAGTGTAGGTATATTCATAAGCATCAGCAATACCTGACTTGAGCCAGGAGACCGCTTTACCTTCACGCTGCTCAATGATGTATCCAGTGACTGGTGAACCACCGTCAGATTTTGGTGGTCGCCATTTCAACGTGGCAGAGCTTCTGTCAACATTGGTGCATTCCAAGTTCTCTGGAGCACTTGCTGGTTCTAAATATAGAATAATATGGATTAGAACTCTTAGAACTAAGAAGCTTCAAGCACAAGTCTTCTCTTAAAATGGATTAGAATAATTGGTAACTTGAAGAAGTAATGAATTTGATATTAGTTGCTAATTCTTACTAAAGATATCGAGGTTTTGTCCCCTATGAGATTTTGAGTGATCCACAACTGTCTTATCAAACTTAATATCACCCCAATCAATGTGATTTCATATCAAAATTTTATTGCAAAATTATATTCCTTAAAATCTTGTACTGGTACATTAGTATATTACTATAATATGGAATTTTTGTGGTTGATTCTGATTCTTCACTTACCAAGTTGTCGTTCTGGCATGACAGATTTCTTCAGAGTAACAGGTTCACTTAAACCTTCAGCATTTTCAGCAAAAACTCGGAAATTGTAAGATCGTCCTTCCAGAAGATTTCTGCATTTGAATTTGGTGTCTTCAGTGTGGCCAATTCTCTGCCATTGAGATGAGCCAGCTTCACGTCTTTCAACAACGTAGCCAATCAGGTCAAGGCCACCAGTTTGAGCAGGGGGAGACCACTCAATAAATACAGCGTCATCCAAAACTTCTGTGACTTTAAGTTTCTCCGGCTCAGATGGTTTATCTGAAATTGGAGTAGTAATTTTCAAGATAAATAATTTGATACTAACAATCTGATAAAAAAAATATTGAATTGATGAAATGAAAAGGAATCAGCAGATAACAAGATTCAAGTAGATAATCAGCAGAGTAATTTGTAATAATGCAGTTATTTTATTCAAAATATTCTTAAAAAGTCCATCAATATATCTTGAACAATGTGGCAACAAAAATCCACCCTGATTAAGCAAATAAACTCTTCTAAAACTGTATTATATTGATAGAAAAAGGACATGAGTAGGAGAGTCTATGAAACATTCAGGGTTGCCAATATGATGACTGGCAAACTATTTACAGCTTTTTTTATTAGCCTGCAGATGAAAATCAAAACTTCTTACCATATGGACTCTTGGCTTTGACCATATTTTTCATGTCTAGTGGTTGTCCAACTCCCATCTTGTTCTCAGAGTAAACTCGGAAATTATAATCATGTCCCTCTGTTAGGCCAGAGATCTTACAGCTGTTGATGTTAGGTCCGACTTTACAGGCCCGTACCCAGCCACCACGTTGTGAATCAAGTTTATCCACGATGTATCCAGTAATTGGAGAACCACCTGTATCCAGTGGAGTCTGCCAACTCAATGTCATGGAGTCTCTCTGGATGTCGGAAGCTGTCAAAGGACCTCTTGGTGCTCCAGGTACTTCTAAAAATAGAAAAGCGAAACCAAATAAATAACCAGTTGCAAAAGTTACAATTGCTTCAAAACTCCTGACTTCATATTTCAGCCCAGATAAACAAAAACAGTTCCTAGTGAAATAAAAATTTGTACAAGCAAGACAATTCCGTTAAAAGTTGTTTAGTAGTGAACTCCTCAATAGAGAAGTATCATCGGGTGCTTCAAAAAGAGTAAGCAGGTTCTGTTCCGCTTGACACCCACCACTACTATACAGGTTAAAACAATGAGACTTGATTGGTGCATCAAAACACCTTAAATCCCAGGCCATGAATTCTCAAAACGATCTTAGCGCTAGGATGTCCCAGGTTCTTATCTTCTAACATTGATTCCTGGGACATCCTAGCGCTAAGGTCGTTTCGAGAATACGTGGCCAGGTTCTCATTTTAAGATGTTTCTTATTAAAAGGCCTTCACACTAGTTGTGTATGGTTGCAAATAAGAATAGAGGCCATAAGTTTTGAGTGCAACTGAGTTGTGATTTCATTTCATTCAGTACTCATGATCACTATAATTTTTCGCAACTGTATGCATCTGGTAATCGCTATAGTGTCACGTCACCTTTAATACCATAAAAAGAAACTGAGGTTGGATGTTTTCAAAGTTTGAAGCATGTCTAAAGAAATTGTAGACTTACCCATTGGTCTCATTGGTTTAACTGGTGATTCCATAGTAACTGGTTTACTTCGACCAATAGCATTCTTAGCGCTAACACGGAACAGGTACTCTTCACCTTCATTGAGGTTACGAAGCACATGACGATTCATGACATCATCAATTTCAGCTACAGTTGTCCAGTCTTTTGATTTGCTATCTTTAGCTTCGATAACGTAGCCTGTCAGTGGTGAACCTCCATCATCAAATGGTGCCATCCAATCCAGGGTAACTGAATCAGGCATAATTTTACTGGCTCGTAATTTACCAGAAGGAGATTGAGGTACATCTGCAATTTAAAAAAAAGTTTCCTGATTATTCAAGAGAATATGTAACAAGAGAATTTTTATCACGAGTATGGATTGTTTAATTTACGAAAGGTTTCATGATTATTCTTCACTTTATGACAACAGACTTAGATAATCAGATAAGTTATCATCGGTAGGAGTGGTAGAGTGGTGGAGTTGTCACTTGTCAGAAATAAATTACGTTAAAAAGTTGATGTATTGCTTAATAAGGTAGTCCCATGAGCAGAATTCATTACAAGTGAAAATAGACAGAGTATTTATCTTATCCATTTCCAATTGAATCAAGCCACAATGACATTCAATCAAAATATCATATTTTTAAAACTACATCAGAAAGTTTTTATTTTATAGTGCTCCAAATAAAATATATTCTCAGTTCTGGGAAAGATTGAGTTTGTACACAATGTCTCACAGTGTTACATCTTTGACTTCCAAACATATACAAGAGTTACATTAAATAGAGTTTTATTTACTACCATTCCAAAAATGAATATAAAAACAAATAATGAATGATTTACCTGCTTTACGTCTGATTTGAACTGGTCCATCAGATTCTAATGGTTTACCAACTCCCTCGTCATTCTCTGCTGAGACTTGGAACATATAGTTCGTACCCTCAATCAGTTTATCAATATGACAGGTCAGCTGATTACCACGGACAGCATCCACCTTGATCCAGGCCTGTCTCTTCACATCCCTTCGCTCTACGATATATCGTTTAATAGGTAAACCACCATCACTCTCTGGTGGTTGCCAGCGAATTGTAGCAGAGGTGGAATCAGTTTCCACTATCTGCATGGGACCTTCTGGTTTACCAGGTACTTCTACAATTGAAAAACAGGAAGTTTCTTCATAACTTTCATCAGAAAAACATCCACAAAAACAAAAATGTTAAAATTAGGAAAACCATGAGTCATCAACTCTCTTTGATCATTCAAGTTAATAAAGGATGATTTATTAAAGTAGAAGATTAGAATTTGGTTCCTTATCTACGGAGCCCCTTAGGCGCAATTTTCCGTACTTTTATAAAATAATTCGTTAAAACGTATGCGCTCCGTACATATCTCATAGTCTGAAAGTGATCTTATTTGGTCCTATTAGTTTTATTATTTGAATCCTATTACTGTCTGAAAGTCTGAAAGTCTGAAAGTGATCTTTGTGTATTTTGGGTAAATAATCCAAGAAATTGTCAATGTTCTACATAAATCTGCTTGGTTTGAATTGGTTGATTAACTACAGTATGGATTAAACAAGATGAATACTTACTGTATGGACTCTTAGGAACAATTGGTTCATCAATATCAGTTTGTAAAGGTTCAGAAAGACCAGCACTGTTTTCAGCCATGACACGAACATGGTAACTGTTGCCCTCCGTTAGATTCTTAATATCCACTGAGTTCTGGCTGGCTTTAACTCTGTCAACCTTACTCCAAGATGTCTTCCAAGCATCCTTCTTCTCAATCACATAGTGAGTAATAGGTGAGCCATTATCTTTAGTGCTGGGTTTCCATGAGACAGTTGCAGAGTTCTTGGTAACATTTTTGACTTCTAGAGGTTCTTCTGGTGCTGATGGTGGCTCTACAAAATGCAAATATAACCTATGAAGAAAAGCTCTGATACAATGATATGAAAATTCAGTCTATCAAATCTGTAGAAGAATAGAATAGTGAGTGGATGGTCAAGTTTTCTGGGTAGCTATCAATGTATTGAAAAACTGTTATTTTCGTTTTGCAGTTCAGGTCGTTAGTACTTGGTTTTTGTATTTCTGGGTTTCCAATGAGAAATATGTAGCAATAACTTACTGAGTGACTTTTTGGGTGAGATTGGTTTATCAGTGGTACACCGTTCTCCTTTACCCTTGGCATTCTCAGCAGTAACAGCAAAGAAATAAGTCTTGTCTGCATCCAGACCTTTTACAGCAAAGGAGTTACTGAATGGTTCAGCTTTACCAGCATCAATCCATTTACTGTCTGGTTTGTCTTCACGGTACTGGATGTGGTATTTCTTAATGTTCATTCCACCGTCATCACTGGGTTCCTTCCATTCCAGAGTCACACCATCTTCAGTTACTTTAGATGCCCTCAGTTGGCTGGGAGCTTCTGGAACATCTGTAAAAATTTATCAAAATCCTTTTAGAGAGCAAGCCTACTTGTGTTTGATCAGATTTAACTTAATAGAGTTAGTGCAATATATGGACGTGAGATGAATTCATTGGGGCATTTGATTCTGATTTTTGAAAAACAGAAAAAACAGAAAAATGTGTGGATTTAATCTTTTATCAATTAAAAATCATTGATATATAGGCTCTACTACTCTGTCATACAAGCAAAGTTCCCCATTCATATTTTTGTAAATAATCCACAAATTAAATTTCCCTAAAAGATTCTTTTAATTTAATAAAAAAGAAGTATGGTCTACAATAAATTAAACTAGACTGACCTTGTTTTTGTTCGAGTTTGATAGTTTGTTTGGCCTCCAATGGAGGACCTTCACCTTCAGCGTTGATAGCAACAATACGGAAATCATACTCATTGTTCACGACCAACTTCTTGGCTTTATAATTTAATGTCTGACCATCCACAACACCAGCTCTACCCCATAGGGTACGTCTGGATTCCTTGATTTCTATAGCATACTTCAAGATAGGACTGCCTCCATCACTCTCTGGTAACTTCCATTCCAAATCACAGGAATCTTTGGTAATGTTGTTGAATTTCAATGGACCCACTGGTGCTGATGGTTTATCTGAAAAATATGAAGAAAAATATTTCTCTAAATTGTTGACAATTAGTAATGGCACAACAAACCAAATATATGCATTTGAAAATGAGAAATCATTCAATGCTTCAAATCTTTAAATCCCAGACAGTTATAACATCAGACTATGATAATGATGATCATTTACAGGGATTCCAGTAGGGGCCTAAGGATTAAAAATAAATATAGGATGGAAAACATCAGCTAAGGGTCAAGGAGTCTACGAGCTCCTACATATGGTAAAGGGAGGAGATTTTACCGTTTTAAGATACTTTAGAAGTCGCTTCCTATGTTAGATTTTTTCATCCCTCAAACCGAATTTTTATGGTTTTATTCGAAAAAAGAAATTACCACTAAAAAGAGGAAATCTGGGATCCCTGCATTAATTAGTGAAAGAGGCATGTATCTGACTGGATTTAGATGTTAAGGAGAGTAAGAGAAGGAGAGGAGGCTAGAAGAATATCTGGTCAGACTATAAGATTTGATACCTAAGTATCAGTTTGATTATTTGATATTTACCATAAAGACTCTTAATAGTCATTAGTAAAAGTAGTATTTATCAACTTTTGACGTAGAAGATGCATGTCAGATAAGTGGGGTAGGGGAAGGAGAGG